TCACTAGGTAAAAGGCTGCCAACTGCCTGAAAGTGATACATTCATTACTATGATGCCAAGGTCAGGTATCTAACTCTGAGCCATCTTGACACAGAGATCTGAATTGTCAGAACATCTAAATTGAACATATTGCATAGGAGGTAGATTCATATTTCCCTGGCTCACAAGATTGATCAGAAAGACATATGACTTATTTACAGTGAGAAATAGAATTGTGATAGTAACTACACACTGTAGTTATCTTTTTCATATAGATTCTCGCTATAGTATATATAAGTATGTATATGAAAAGTTACCTATTATGAGAATGGCAAGAACTTGAAAAAATATAACTCAAAAAGGAATAGGGCAAATGACCTGAATATGCACTTCTCAAAAGAGGCCATACAAATGGCCAATAGACATATGAAAAAAAAATGCTCAATGTCACAAATGATCAGAGGGATACAAATTAAAATCACAACGAGATATCACCCCATGCCTGTTAGAATGGTTATCATAAATAAATCAACAAACAACAAGTGCTGCCGAGGATGTGGAGAAAAGGGAACCCTTGTTCACTGTTGGTGGGAATGCAGACTAATGCAGCCATTATGGAAAACAGTATGGAGTTTCCTCAAAAAATTTAATATAGAACTGCCACTTGACCCTATGATCCCATTTCTAGGAATATATCCTAAGAATCCTGAAACACCAATCAGAAAGAATATGTGTACCCCTATGTTCATAGCAGCACCATTTACAATAGCTAAGATTTAGAAGCAGCCCAAGTGCCCATCAGCAGTTGAGTGGATTAAAAAATGTGGTATATTTATACCATGGAATACCATGCAGCTGTAAAAGAGAAGGACCTCTTACCCTTTGAGACAGCATGGAGGTACCTGGAAAGTATTATGCTAAGCGAAATAAGTCTGTCAGAGAAATATAAATACTATATGATTTCAATAACAAGTAGAATCAAATGAGAAGTAATAGTGTCAACAATATAAAAGGGAATAAAAAGAAAAAATATTAAAAAATAAGTACATTTACAATGGCAATTTACTCCCATTTTAAATCTTAATTTTAATAAAACAAACAAATGTGTACTTCTTCAAATTCTCTATGCTGTGATATATTTGAATGTAGGAATCAGCATATTTGGGTTCTGTTCAGAGTTCCACCTATTCTTGCTAGTATTATGATGATACGTCATGGCTCACTTTGTTTAATACCAATACCAACTTGATACCACTTGAAAGAGCTTGAACTTGACCACAAGTTTGATATGTACACTGTATTTAAAAAACACACAAACTCCTAATATTATCACAGGCTAGACTGATATGATATGAATAAGTATTTAGAGAAAAAAGAAGGTGGTCATTCCTTCTTAATTTGCACTTTTAAGACTTCAACTGTATAGTATGTTCATTTCATGACATTGCATTTTGGGTGTGTGGGGAGATGGCCAGCATCTGAAACAGTGGCTTTCAATTCTTTTCTTTTTTTTTTTGACCATGGATAAAGAGATTCCCAGACAAGAAAAAGCTGAAGGAGTTCACGGTCATTATTAGTTGACACTAAATAACACCTTAGTTAATATATAGTTGCTCATCTAATGTGTGGTGTATCTATTGCAAAAAATAGTCATTTTACCTATCAGAGAAATGCATGTAGCTGGTGACCTACAGAATTAAAATTACTTTAGCAAGAACTGGCCTATGTGATATCACTGCTTAAAATCAAAATAAAGAAAAGTAATTCTCATGATAATTTTGTTTTAACTTTGTTTATCAGTGACATGTTTGTTAATCATATTGTTATCCCCATAAGGGAATAGAAAATAAAATAAAATGTACTTAAAGAAATCAGAAGTACCATCTATATATCCTATATAATAAAGAGCTAATTTGCAAATGGTCATCACACCCTCATGCCATCACGCCATAATGGCTCAAACACTCAACACTGAGGTGAGAGGAATGGGGACCAGCCAGGCACAAATGAGCTTGCAAGAGAGGAATGGGGACCAGCCAGACTGTGGTCCAGGAGAGGAACAAGCCGCCCACCCTGTGGTCCCCGCAGTCCCAGCTGCCAGTGGCTGTGTCTTCATCTGTGGCCCGGGAGAGGGACAAGCCACCCGCCCTGCGGTTCCGGGCACCTGCGGCTGTGTCCCAGGTGAAGCCGCCCACCCACGGTCCCTGCAAGCTGCAGCAGGCCCGGGTGAAGCTGGCCCGGGTCCTGGGTGCCTGTGGCCAGCCAGAGGGAGGTAAGCCCAGGTCCCAGGTGCCTGCACTGGCTGGAGGAAGGAATCCTGGGAACCAGGTGTGGCAGAGGCAGAGGCAGAGGCAGAGGCAGTTAGGGGCGATCAGGCAGGCAGATGTGGTTAGGGGCGATCAGGTAGGCAGGCAGAGGGGTGAGGGGCAATCAGGCAGGTAGTCAGGTGAGCAGTTAGGAGCCAGCAGTCTCAGATTGCAAGAGGGATGTCCGACTACTGGTTTAGGCCCAAGGGGTCCCAGATTGGAGAGGGTGCAGGCGGGGCAGAGGTACCCCCCCCCAACCCCTGCACAAAATTCATGCACCAGGCCTCTAGTGATTATTATAAAAAAGTCAACAAATAACAAAGATTGGTGAGGACTTAGAGAAAATGGAACTCTCATGTACTTGGTCAGAATGCAGATTGATATAACCACTATGAAAAACAGTATGGAGGTTCCTCAAAAAATTAAAAACAGAACTACCACAGACCTAGAAATTCTACTTTTTGGCATTTATCCAATGAAAACAAAAACACTAAGTTGAAAAGATACATGAACCCCTGTGCTCATTGCAGCATTATTTACAATAGCCAAGATATGGAAGCAAACTAGTGTCCATCAATAGATTATGGATAAAAAAATGTGCTACATATGTACAGTGGAATATTATCTACACTAATAAAAGAGAAACATGGTAATTGGCGTACGACC